CTACTCCCTAAAATCTAGAGATTTAAAAAAAAAAAACTTTTCCTGAAGCTGCCTGCATTTTTAGTTGTCAAGACAATCAATGAGGATTTTTCCCCCCTTTTTTCTTGAAAGGCAGAGAAAAATCAGGTCTCTGCCAAATCTTATCCCTTCCTTCTCCCTGTTTTCATTCGTAACTCTGGTTTTACCTTCAGCATCCAGAAACCTGAAGTATTCAGGCACTGGTCTCTTTCCACACTAAGGCCTCATGAGGCTCGATGGGTAAGGGAAAAATCTTGCTGCAGTTCTTGGATAAATAAGCCAGAAGCAGAGGACTGGTTGTGTCAAGGATGACAGAGGACTCCCCTTGTGGATTTTGACTGTTTCTACCAGGTACCCCACCTGGTGGTTTGCGCGGTCCTGATGAAGGGAATTCCCTTTCTTCCTCTGTCCAGAGAGTGGAGATATCCTGAGCAACCCCAGGACACAGGCTACCTAGGACCTGGAGCAAGGCTCAAAGCTTTGGTAGACAAGAAAATCCTGGGCCTTGGGATCTAACCCTGTGCCCTACATGTGACCTGCCCCCAGGTAATTAGCACACCAGGAGACTCACATACCGCATGGCTAACACACCATTGTCCAGGAGTTTCATCTTCCTGGCCTGGGTAGGTGCTATACTGTAACCCTAGACTTGCTCTAGAAATGCCCAAATACTGGGCACTGGACCTCTGGACTCAGGGTGGTTTGTACAACTTGGGGACTCAAGCCCCATACCTCTTGGAGAGAAGGCATCCATGACAGAGGGCTGTGAAAATCCCAGCTGAAAGCATTTCTCAACGTGTTCTGGGGTGTGGAGAATTATAAAATTTGGGTGCATATGGGGAGATGCAGGCCAGATAATAAGAAGTGAGAGACCAAATGTAATATACTGTGTGCTCTCCTCACTCTCGTGCTTGTTCCCATGAGAGTGTGCTCTCCCAGTGGGTAGGAGCAGAACTCACCAAAACCTAGCCCCAACCCACAGTAGATAGACACTCAATGCATAGTAACAAAGTTAATTAAATCCATGAGATTAAGTCTTGAATTATCCAATAGAAATATAATGGGACCTGCATATGTCATTCTAAGTTTTAGTAACCATATTATAATAATTTTAAAAGCTGAAATTTGTTTTAGTAATATATTTCATCTTACCTAATATATCCAAAATGTTATCATTGTTTGACATATACTTTATATTTTAAAATATTAATGAGATATTTTACATTCTTTTACTCATATTAAGCCTTCATTACCCAGGACGAATTTTATACTACAGTACATGACTAGCCACATTTCAAATGTTCATGTGGTTCATGGCTTCCATACTGGCCAGTGCTGATCTAGAATCTTTGTTTTTCTAGAACAAAGGTATAGGTAATTGCTCAAAGGTATGGTAATTCCTCCAAGCAACAGGACAGTGCAGGGCATCAGGATGCTGTGGGAAGAGGACTGGATCCATTCAAATGCGTTTCCACAACTATCTCTTAAGCACCTACTCACTATACAGTTTGGTTTATGTGGCCTTTGTACATGGTAAAGGAAGTCCTTGCTCTCTCTAAGTCCTAAGCTCACCTGAGGGGGTTGCTGAACAGCATTTTTCCATGGTCTGTAATTATCATCCCACCTCATTGCCCCTTTAAAAACAACAAAGTCTGCACTTTTATCAGATACCTTTCTGTGTTCCACCTGAGCATGCCACTTTCACATATGCCACAATCTCACTGAATCCTTCCAGCAACTCTATTTAGATGTTGTATTCCCTTTATTCCAAAAGGAAAAGTAAGGCTTGGAGAAGTGATGCACCTTTATGGTGAGAGAACTTGAAGGAAGAAAATAAATTTCTGATGAAGTCCCATCCATTTTTCCCTCAGTGAGGTCCCTTATAGGACCTGTGAAAAATGTCATGCAACAGGACTGTGCTTCAGACCCTAGAAGGCTGCAATCAAAGCAAATGAAACACCCTGGTGCCATCTACAACCTAGAACAAAATCTAGGGCAGCCCCTGGCTCTGACACTTACTGGCTGTGTAATGTTGGGCAAAGCAATTCACAATAATAATAATAACTAGCATTTACTGATCTCCCAAGGATCAGGCTCTGACCTAGCCAGTTGCTCATATATTTTCTCTTCCTCACAAAAATGATTCATTTTATAGATTAGGACACCAGGGTTCAAAACTAGCAAATTGTCAGAAGTCATACATCCAGTAAACAGGAAAGTCAGGAAGAGGAAATGTTAATAAAAGTATTAATTTTGTTCTGTACTGTAATTTTAACCCCGCTCATTCCCCATTGCAAAAAAAAAAAAAAAAAATCACTAAAGAACTTCAAGACCATCAAGGTACATGATAAACAATAGCATATACCTGTTACAAATCAAGGGGTTTGTAAAGAATAGGAAAATAGGAATTGATTTCAAGGTTTTTAAATACCAAAATAAAGGCTTTATTATTCATTTACCGTGTATGGTAACTTGTCAAAACAATGAAAAACCTGGGCTTCCAAAAGAGATAGTTATACTTACACTGTTCAGCTGAAAGGACTGTTGTACTTATCCAAGAAGAAAAAGTAAAAGCACTTTGAAAGTGTAAGAAGATGACAAAATGGCAGACATTACAAACATGTTAAAGTAAACTGCATTTTACTAATATGAAATGTATATAAGATACATTTCCTAATCTTCATTAGAAGTCTGCATCTTGAAAAAAAAGAGTTCAAAAAATATATAACTGGGAAGAAATGGAGGGAAAATGAAAATGAAAGATAAATGAATAAACCAAAATAAAAGAGCTGATTTTCTTGAAAGAGAACAGAGGGAAAGAGGAGGGGGTAGGAGAGAAGGAGAGGAAAAAAAGGGAGGGAGAGAGGAAGAAGAAAGGAAGTGAGAGGCAAGTGCTGTGAAAAATAAGCTCCAATTCCTGGGGTCAGACAGCTTCTTCAAGAAAAAAGAAACTAGCCATGACCCCCTTAGCACTGAGGCTGGGCACAGTTTTTGCGACTGTTTAGAGAAATCTAGTGCTCTCCCCACCATTAATCTTTTCTAAAGAAAGTCTTTGTTCTGCACCTGTATAAACAATTCAGTTTTTAAAAACCTATATGCCTTCCCCCAATGTGTGAGGCTATGTATTTATACTGATAGCTTCAAGTCATCAATAGGGGATGCAAAAAATGCTAACCTGGATCTCTGTTGTATCTTTTTGCTCCCCCTTGCCTCTCACCCATCCTTTGCCTAGTAAGGCACTCCTAGAGTCACGTTCAAGTTCAAGCCCTCCAAGAAAGATTTCCATGCCTGTCAAATGTTCTCTGCATTTCCCCAGCTCAGAGAGAACTGAGATTAAATGATCTTTTTACTCATGTGGTCCCAGAATGAGCCCATCCCTCATTTCCGAACCTCCTCACACCCCGAAGAAAAAAAATAACCCAACGAGTACAGGGAGAAAACCTTTGCAAATGGGGTGAGCAGGAGGGAGGGGTTGTGTGAAACATCCCCCACGCAAGAGGCATGGCATGGGAGACGAAGGTGGAAAGATGCCTGAGTGATGAAGTCAGCCTGGGCCAGCCACCTGTTGCGGCACTTCAGGCACGGAGTAGGGCGCATTTGTTCTGCTGTAGGAACCAGCGGAGCGAGGCTGACCCGGGGGCTTTTGCCAGCTCTGTCCTAGGCTTATGGTACATAGGTCCTCTTGAGTGTGGCTCAGCTTGGGAGCCTGAGACTTTCAGCAGCAGGACAAGTGCACATCTAAGTCAGTGTGAAGACTCAGTTTCCTCATTGTAAAACCGAGTAACCATACCCCAACCACACACAGGTTTTATTATCAACCTCTAGGGGTTTTATTTTTCACAAGGTAGTGAATATAGTGACTAGTACACAGCAGGCGTGGAATCACTGGCCATTTGTGTCCATTTTCACAACAAAGTACTCATCCCCTGACCACGAATTGCCACGGCTCCATGTCAGGAAATATTGAGGCTGCAATTTTGTTTTGCTTCCATTGGAGGAAAGACAGGGTGTTTTATTTTGGTTGGAATGGGACATGATAATTCTGGGTGCTGCTATTTCTTTTTTTACTTTCACAGGACGATTGTGCTAACTTAGCCTTCTGCATTCAGGAGCTTGTTCTTCAAAACACAATCTAAGGTAGCAATGGATTCCCTACACTATAACTCAAAGTGTTAGGGCAGGTTCCTCTATCATAAGCGTTGTGGTATTTTTAAAAAAAAAATCAAGCACGGAACTCTTGAGACAGTGGAAAATACCAGATACAACATTCAGACATTCAGTGGTTTGTGACCGGGAGGCATGTCGTGGACTAGATTACCGACGGGCCAGGAGTGCTAAACATCACTTTTTGAATCCTTTTCCTACTTACCAGCCTGCGGAGTTTGAGTCTTTTACTTAGCATCTATCTAACGTGGCTCAGCTTCAAGTTCTGCAAAGTGGAGATAATAACATTAAGTGACAGGGGTTATTTGAAGATGAAACAAACCATTGCAGTTAAAAGTGCTTTGTAAATCATAAAGCTATATTAAAGGAAAAGGAGGAGAAAGAAAATGAGAGTTAAGTGTTGTGCATTGTTGGGTGTTTTTGCTTGTTTCGCTTTTTTTCTTTCGTTGGTCAAACTTTGGGCAGACAAGCATAACATTGTGAGTGATGAACTTGAAAAACTGACTTCTGCAGAAAAGCCTGACGCAGAGGTCGGGATCCCTGTGGAGATCTAAGCATCTGGCAATCTTCCTCACCTCTAATATTAGCTGAGTTGGAAGTAGGGTGGGTAGGAATAAGATCTTCCCTTCACTCCCCCTTCTCAGACTTATCCCGCACAGACATCCCTGGAGGTCCATCGGGCCTCGGGGCCCAAATCTCGGTTTTGCTGAGACGTCCCCTTCCCCCGCCTCCACCAACCGTTCCTCTGCATGCAGAAACGTGGTCCCCACCCCTTCCACGCCCCTGCCCCACCTCTTGCCCCCCTTTCCAGTCCCCTCTTCATTGCCGGGGTGTTTTGTTCCAAGGAGTACAGATAAACAGTCTTGTCAAAAGGCGCGGCGCACGGCGGTGCGCCCGGGGCTTGGACTCGGACGCCAACTTCTGGTCCGCGCTCTCCCGGGTCAGCGGCAGGACGCGCTTGCTTCCACCGCCCGTCTCCCTCTCGCGCCCCGGGGGCCCAGGTCTCTAGTTCTCCTCGGAGTTCTCCTTGGCCGCCGCCTCCGCCGGCGAGCGGAAGGCGGAGACGTGAGACTGGCCAGGGGGAAGGAAGGCGGGCGCGCGTGGGCGCGGGGCACGACGCGATGTCCACGGGCTCCGTGAGCGACCCGGAGGAGATGGAGCTGCGGGGGCTGCCGCGGGAGTACCCGGTCCCCGCCTCCACAAGGCCGCCCCTCCGCGGCGCTGAGCGCAGCTACGCCTTGCCCAGTGACAACTCGTCTGCGGAGGAGGAGGACCCCGACGGCGAGGAGGAGCGGTGCGCTCTGGGCGCTGCCGGCGGCGCTGGAGCTTGCCAGAGGAAGCGGCCCCGTGTGGCTGGGGTCGGCGGCGCAGGTGGCGGCGCGGGTGGCGGCGGCAAGAAGCCCCTCCCGTCCAAGGGCTCGGCCGCAGAGTGCAAGCAGTCGCAGCGGAACGCGGCCAACGCCCGCGAGCGCGCCCGGATGCGCGTGCTGAGCAAAGCCTTCTCCAGACTCAAGACCAGCCTGCCCTGGGTGCCCCCCGACACCAAGCTCTCCAAGCTGGACACGCTCCGGCTGGCTTCCAGTTACATCGCGCACCTGCGGCAGCTGTTGCAGGAGGACCGCTACGAGAACGGCTACGTGCACCCAGTGAACCTGGTAGGGGCGCCGCGCGCGAGGACCGGCTCCTGGGCGCCGGGCAGGGTCAGCCCGCCGGGGAGAATCCAGAAGGGGTGGGGGTTCTGAGACGCGGGACGAGAAGGCCAGTTTAGTTTCTCCCACGTCAAGGGAGGGGCTGGCCGTTTTCCTGGCGAAGAATCATTCACTCTTCTGGGTGTGCATCCTTCTGATCATTGTACGCTGGGGCTTCGCCTAGTGACAGCCTTTGGCTGATATCCTACTTCCGGGGTAAATCTCGGTTCTGAGTCTGCTACCCGGTTGCAGATTTGAATGGCAAATCTCCACCGCCCAACTTTTATCCAGCTACGAGTCTGGCAGGTTTGAATCAGCAAACCTTGCTTTCTTCAAGAAGGAGGGAAGGCCGAGCTCTGTCAAAGAGCCTCTGGATTTTTAAATCGCTGCAGATAGCAAGGCTTCCCTAGACGGAATTTGTCTGGAAAGTCCCTCTCTGACCTGCCAACTCTCCAGGCTTGGGAAAGATCATTTCCAAGCCCAGTGCCTCGTTGGAGTGGATGACTGGGGTGTGTGTGTGTGTGTGTGTGTGTGTGTGTGTGTGTGTGTGTGTGTTGGGGGCAGGGAATTAAGTGACACGATCCCAAAGTCATACAAATTTCACCAAATTATCGAGCGGGCCAAGTCCAAGAAGAAGCGTGAAAGGAACTCTGTACGTCTCGCGTTATTCTCAACATTAGGTAAAATTAAAATCTTTGTTCGTAGAGAAGACACGCAAGTGCCTGGAACGCTGAAAAAAATCTGAGCTACTCAAGCTAGGGATAGCTGGGATTCGCTTAGGAGAGAGGTTTCGGTTTGTCACGGTGATTTCTTCTTTAATATCTAACGCTTTAAAAAAAAAACTTTTACAGACATGGCCATTCGTGGTCTCTGGACGACCCGATTCTGACGCCAAAGAAGTTTCAGCCGCCAACAGACTATGTGGAACCACCGCTTAAACCAGACGCGCACTCCCTTGATGGGATTATTCTTTAAACGCACGTGATAGGGGGCCCGCGGAAAGAAGAGAGAGGGCAGGAGATGGGAAGACGGTTCCTCGGATTTTCCCTGACCCTTCCCCTTTTCCTGGACCTGTGGACGCGACAGGTGGCAGACGTGGCTCTCTGTCATCGAGAGCGCCTACGGCTACAGCTGCCGCGGACCTAGGCGGCCACCCTTGGCCTCTCCAGAAAGAGCCTCCTTTCTCGTCGAGAACGCGGATCCAGATCCAATCTCGGGCTTGAATAGTAGACCAACCCTCGGCCGCCGTCCGAGCCCAGCGACAAACCGCCCAGGGGATAGCTTGCTAGCCGAGCCAGATGTATCCTACAAGTGGTGCGAGAATGTGCCCAGTCCAGGCCTTCCACCGTTGGACCGCGGCTAGAAAGCACTCTCCATCCGCTTTAAAGACAAGTCTCCACGGGAGATCTACGTCGGGGCATAGTTTTAAGCCGCAGAGAGCAGAGTGGCCTTTCTGGGCGGGTTTGAATCCCTCCGGCAGCGCCCTCTTAGCGGGCGGGGGGATGCCCGCTGCACTCGGGGCGCAGTGGAGACACACTTCAGTGACCACCCGAAGCGGGTTTTGCCCGGCGCGCTCCCGGCGGTTCGGCCTCCCTGCTGCGGTGGGCCCCTCGTGTCTCCATCCTCGGGTCTCCTTGCCAAACCCCCGGATTTTTCTAATCAGGCTTCTGTCTACTCCTTACCCTTCTAGGCTCTAGCCTCCCCACGCCCCGCCGCCCCAATTCGGCTTGGGTGGGTCTCTGGCGACCTCCTTCTCCTCTTCCATCCCGCTCCTCCCTGCAGCACCCCAGCTCGGACTCCAGGCCTTCTCCACCAAACCTCCCCCTCCAAGCTCTGATCACCCCTCCTTCAACACCGCTGCCTCCCACCTTCCGCGTTCTTCTTCCGCGCGGAGGAGCGCGCCGGGTGGGCAGTTGGGGCTGCTAGGGACCAAGTGACCCTGCCAAGGCGCCATTGCTTCTAGGCTGCACTACCACAGGAATTAACATATGTAAATAAATTTATTTTTTTATGAATAATAAAACGCGTTGTTTAACCGGCGTCCCCCTGGGAGCGTCAGGATGTAGTAGTCTTTGTTGCCCTTTACTGAGAGGGATTGGTTGTAGAAGGATGGGGCGTTAGGTCATTGTCCAGTGGAATGGTAGTGATTACAGTCTGGATCACTGCATTTCCAAATGTCATTCTTATTAGTCTCTATGATTCTGATTCCTCCTCCAGGGAGTGCTTCCTGAAAGGCAATAACTGGAGGCCTGATAAAGGCCCCAAGTCTTTTGAGGCAAAGGACAGCCTTGAGAGGATGTACCCCTCAAACTACTATAGGCTCTCGCACACTCTCTCTCTCTCTCTCTCTCTCTCTCTCTCTCACACACACACACACACACACACAAACACACACACACAGAACACCTTCTCCAGCCTAAAGCACACTCCAGTGCTTACAATTGCAAGTAGTCCAAGAACCTTCTCACGCCCACCCACGGGTCTCAGGTGTAACTGGCAGAATAATACCCTAAGAAGCCAATTTGTATTTCAGCACTACTTTTCTTTTTGCAAATGTTTATACAGCGTTTTTAATGTACATCACCTCATTTTCCGTGTTACTTTCTTCTATTTGCACTGCAATTTTTGCAGGAGGTAATAACTTGGAAATCCCATAATACAATTTTTAAAGGACTGGCTCTTTAAAAAAAAAAACACATTTTTTTTTTAGAACGTTTTGAAATGTGTGAAGGATAAAACTACATAAACAACGGCCCGGTTTGGGGTTCTGTCCATTATTTTATAAAATTGAAAGGCAGTTTTCTTGACCCAGAGAGAGAAAATACAGCTGGATTTTAGTTAGGAGGTGAGAGGGAGGTGGGGAGAGTGACTTCCTGTTTTGAACTAAACCAAACCAAAACTCTGGAGACCAGCTTTCTGGAGCTTTTGTTCATACCCTAGGAGGGAACTGGCCCTGGGGATCCAGTCTTCAGTTGCCAGATGCTAGGCTCAGGGTTTACACTGGTCGTTTCTGTGGCATCAGGGAATTTCTGTAGAGAGAGAACCAGTAACTGAAGAAACTAGAGCTAGGAAACCCTCCTATGGTTAAAGGCACTTCGGAGATGAGTTTTGAGTGGCCAGCTTCTTGCAGGTGGTTGTCTGCTGGAGGCCAGATCTTAGTCAAGGGCATTTCCAAAATTTCCAGCAAATGAGTTCCTTCCCGAGGAAAGGAGGCAGCCCAATATGTTGGTTAAGGAGAATCTGAATGTTTAAAGAACCCAGCTTGAAATCCAATCTCTGTCATGGGATGAGTGACCTTGTGCAAGTTACATAACCCCTCTACGCCTCAGTTTCCTAATCAATAGAATCAGGGTCATAACAGTGTCTAGCTCAAAAGATTGCCTCAGGAATAAACACGATAAGGTATTTAAATGAATCTTTAAATATGCAATAAGCAGTGCATTAAATGTTGGCAACTAAAGGAAATCCAGAGGTAGAGGGAAACGCTTTGACAAAAGGGAAACTTCATGCAGGTGGGACATTTCAGGTGTCCAGTATTTAAGACTGAGTCTGGTTTTGAGATAGCTGGATTACAACTGTGAAAGAGGAATGTTCCTCAAGAGTGAACAAAACAGAAGTACAGAAAACCAGAAAGAATAGCTACATTTGCAGTAAACACGTGTTCCTATCATATTTTCTCAGGGCACTTCAGGAGTAAACTCAGATTTTTATGTCCCTGTCTCCTCCCCGTTAAGGTGGAGCTAGTCACTGATTCTTGGGTACATAGAGTGTTGTATTGTACCCTGCAAACCCATTTTTAATGGCCACTTTGTACTCCTATAGTTTATAGGGGAAAAAAACTGTCTCAATAATTTTCTGCTTCATGGTTTCTGTAAAAAGTCCAATGCCAAGAAATATGTTTTTGAAAAAAAAAAGAAGGAATAAATTAAGAGGTCAATTTCTACTAAGTCCCAGTGAATCAATGTAAATCGCTTAAGCTTCTGGGCACCCGTTGCTGATGGGAAGAGGCCTTAAGCAACTCAAATCAGTCTTTTCTTTATCTACCATGACTAGAGCATGCCTTTAGTGATAGGCCTCTCAAAGCCTTCCTTTCTTTTCCATCATTTTTCTTTAGGGATTTGAGTTTGAGAAATGGGAGTTCAGGCAGAGAAACTGAACTGGAGGTGTGGTGAAAGTGGGAGGAGGGATTAAGAGATAAAAGAAGTATGTCTTTAGGGTTACTTCAATTTGATTATACTGCTGTGAGAGAAAAAAATGAAGAGAAAAAAGTCTAAGAAATAAAATATAAAAAGTGCTAAACAACAAACAAAATGAGAAAATTGAAAAATACTCTTCAGGGGGCTTTTTGAGGGACCAAAGCATTATTATTAGTGGTACTGACTCAAACAAAAAGAACAAAAATCCCCTTCCACAGACTCCCCCTAAGATGAATATCTTAAAAGAAAAGCTTTCAGCACTGTAATTTTGAAACATTCAGACGTTTCTCTTGGTTATGGAGTTGAATTGATTTTGTGAAATTTCTTTTGCACTGGGTTTCAAGTTACAATTTCACTTTAGTGTGGTAGCTCCTTCAATACATAGCAACAATGACCTTTGAAATTTACAAAATGATTTTTACAGTTTTTTTTCCCCCTCATGATAAAGGCATCAAAGCTAAAAAAAAAAAAAAGACCCTGCCCTCCCCAGCCCCGTGTCTGTAAACAACAACAGCAACGTGGAACACATTCTATTTGAATAGGCAATTGGAAGATCATTTGTTTGATACGTCTGGAAAATAATGAGCATTAAAACAGTAACCAAGAGCCACATTTGGAAGGACAAAATCAGGTGAATTCATAATTGACTTATCTCTACCTAGCCTGTAATTTGTGGGGAAATCTGGTAGGAGGTACCAGATTGGCTCCACTTGGTAACTGATCACCTGGCTGTACCTCCTTTCAGTGGGAACTTCTGCATACCCATCTGTGGACAAGGGGGACTTGTATCTCTGAACTTGTCCTCTCTATTAATCTACTTCTCTAGTCTGTTCACCTTTTGTATGTTTTTTCTTCTTTCTTCCACAACAGTGAAAGTTGACTCAGAGAAATCTTTTAAATACATGTCTCTAAAAAAACCCAGAAAGTAGCCAGAGCCAGAAATCCACACGTCATCCTGAATAGCATGTAGGTATAATTATCCCGAACCATCCCTGTTGGTTCTGCCACCACCAGGATAGTTCTGGATAAGTCTTGAGATCCTTCATTACTTGTGGTAAAAAGAATCATGGAGCAACCAAGAATAGGAGCTTTCATTCTTTCATTTGGTAAAACTACAGTACCTGTATTGACTATTACTATTAATTAGCAGTGGAATGGGAGGGAAAGACAAGGAGCATAAGCAAGAAGCTTTTACCTTTTACTTTTCTTTGTTTAAAAATTTTGCATAATATTTTGGGGTTAAAAAAATTGGGGGGTTAAAAAAATACTTCAAAAAAAGTTTCAAGCTGGCAGATCATACATGGCTGGTTCCAGTTCCATGTTTACTGACTCTATGTTCTCATGCACCTCCCCACTCCTCTGGGAGACTAGACTCAGACATTCGACCTCACTGACTATTTTGAGAATGAATTAAATGAGATCATCTCATTAAGCACTAGGGATATGCTCCATAAATGTGCTCTCTCTCTCTTTTTTTAAACAACGCTTTGATTTTCTTTGCTTTTCTCTTATTAGAGTTTATGTCCCTGAGCCTCATCTGCAAATTTCTTCCAAGTCCCTTTTGCCACTTTTATCACCTGTTTTTTCTGCCACATCCAATCTTTCTATACTGACCTCTCCTTTCTTTTGTCACTAAAAAGAAATTTTCACTTAGTTTCCTTTTAAAGATCATAACAATCAACATTTAAAAAAAACATGAGATTTAAAAAAAAACTCATTCCAGAGTTCAGGATACACCAATAAATTTATTTTTTTATTTTTAATATCTAAGATACATAATAATTGGACATAGTTATGTGGTAGGTATGATATTTAGATACAAGCATCTAAAGTATAATGATCAAATCAGGGAAAAGGGGTTATCCATTACCTCAAGCATTTATCATTTCACTGTGTTAGGAACATACCAGTTTCAGGCTTTTAGTTATTTTGAAATGCATACTAAATTACTGTTAACTCTAGTCTGCTATTGTGCTGCTGAACACTAGAACTTTTTCCTTCCATCTAACTGTATCTTTGTCCCCCTTCCCTTCTATCCTTCCCAGCCTTAGTAGCCATCATTTTACTTTCTAGCTC